AAAAATTGTTGCGAAACAATTCGACATTTATTATTCGATGAAAACGTCAATGGATTACAATTAAATTTAGTATTTTATTACGTTATATTATAAGTCATAGACTCACTTAGTTTTATTACTATTAAAATCGTCTTCAAGTGAGATATATATGACTCAACAGAAGAAGCTACATTTAATACGATGAGTTGATATAAAAACGTCAAGCAAAGGATCGCAATTCCTTATTTTAGAGATACAAAGTTTGGACAAAAGTGTGGACTAATTTCATTCATATTCCCACACAATTTTTAAGAAAACTTCTTCATTTAATTTTATTAAAGTATCATCATCACACATTTTTTTAGATGGAAAGTCGGAAATTATTATACAGGCTACATTGGAGGCAGAAAAAGGGATGGGCTGATTAAATTAATTTTGACATTGCTGAGGTATACTTGAGATAATATTTTTAAGCAATTTTATTAACTTTTAATATACACATTGAAAGACATGTTCGGCATAAGGTTTGTTAGAATAACGAAAATCAATATAAGTAGTATTTGGGAGTTGCGGTATTCGTAGGCTAACTTCGCATATTTTCGTCATTAAACTATAGTTATATAAAATAATATAATTTATTTATCCAATATTTGTGGCCGTATATCGGCAATAACAAGGCGAATGTTGTCTTCCAAAGGGTTAAGCGTTTATGGCTTATGCGGATAGACCAATGACTTACATAACCCCACAGAAAGTAGTCTAGCGGTGTTAAATCACAAGATCTTGGAGGCCAATTCACAGGTCCAAAACGTGAAATTCGGCGATCACCAAACGTGTCTTTCAATAAATCGATTGTGGCACGAGCTGTGTGACATGTTGCGCCGTATTGTTGGAACCCCAGCTCCTGGACATTATGGTTGTTTAATTCAGGAATGAAAAAGTTAGTAAAAATGGCTCTATACCGATCACCATTGACTGTAACGTTCTGGCCATCATCGTTTTTGAAGAAGTACGGACCAATGATTCTACCAGCCCATAAAGCGCACCAAACAGTCAGTTTTTCTGAATGGTACGGTGTTTTGATATACACTTAAGGATTAGCTTCACTCCAAATGCGACAGTTTTGTTTGTGGACATAGCCATTCAATACGAAGAGCGCTTGATCGCTAAAAAAAAACAGAACGTAGTGCGTGATACGTATTCCGCACAGAACCATTATTATCGAAATATATTTGCACTATTTGCAAGCGTTGTTCAGGCGTGAATCTATTTATGATGAATTGCTTAACCAAACTGAGAATAAATTACTTGACAGCTGTTAAATCGGTCGTCATCTTGAACAGTAATGCCAACTTAAAGTTCTATACCTTGAAAACAAACACCCTTTATTATCAGAAAAAGTCTCTTTTCGAACTACAATAACAGATTGAACATTATTTCCGGTAAAAAGTTAGCACCAGGCACTGGGGTCCCGATATTTGGTAACTGGAGGCTTGAACTGGTATGATCCGATTTTGACAATTATTAGACCTGAGATGGTATACATCAAAGGCACTATTTTTGCAAAGTTTTGTTCCTGTATATTTTTGGGTGCTTCAATTGTATATTGGAAAGTGAAAAAATCATATCGAATTTAAAATGGTGGTAGATAGGAAGTCGGCGCGGTTGAAGGCCGCTTTCGCTCATTTTCTTATTGTGAGATGGGATTGTTAAAATAATTGTATGTACCGAATTTTGTTGAAGTTGATCAAGTAGTTCCGGACATATATGATTTCGCCTTAATGGGGACGATTCCTTTAAACCCCCTTGTGTCATCCTGGATATAAAATTAATGTCTCTGACGTGGATTTATCGCACCTAGCTTTTAACTAAATTGTTATATAGGAAGTAGGTGGGGATATCATCCGCTTTCATCCATTTTCACACTGTCCTAGGAGGTGTCAAAAAATTATTATTTTCAAATTTTGGTTATATAGCTTGAATGGTTTAGGAGAAATATACATTTAGCTTATTAGGAGGCAGCGTCCACTTTTGAACAAATTTTCTACCCAATACAATTTTCTTTACCAAGTTACAGATATATATCATAACTTAGTGTTTAGTTATGGCGTTTTATAAGTTTTCAATTAATTGCGTTTTGTGGGCGTGACAGTAGCCTTATTACGTCGATCTAAAATCCCAAACTTCTCATGGTGCCAAGGAACAAAAGTACCAAGTTTCAGCAAGATATCTCAATTTTTATTCAAGTTACATCTTGCACAGACGCACGGACGGGCAAACAGACAGACATCCATGCTTTAAAACACTTCAAACTAAAAAGTAAACAATAGTTCTTTATATAAACTGGCAGCAATATTGACCGAAAACGATTTGTTTTATTGTGAGAAAAGTGTGGGGTGCTTTGCGCCATATTGTTCGTATAATATATCGAGCATACCACACTTTTCTCATAATAATACAAGTATTTTTCGGTCAATATTAGGCACTGTCAGTTTATATTAACAATTATTTTTCACTATTTCACTTCAAGTGCTTTAAAAGCGTGTTTTAAGTGTTCTTAAACTATATTTATTAATATTCGCACATAAAATCTTCAAAATTCTGCGGTCAATAGGTCCAGCAATGTCAACCGGAAATTTTACAAACCTATATTAGGTATATGAGAGCTGGGGGAAGTATTCACACGATCTAATCCTTTTTTACCACAAAGTCACATTATTATCATCAGAATCAGAGAACGGTGTCTTAATTTCTTTAAGTCATATCACAAATTGTCTGATCTAAACGGCATAAAGTCAACCAGAAGTTGATTCCATTTTTGATTTAAGTTTAGCCATTTTTTACAGAAGGGTACATTATTATTAGAAAAAAGAATTTTTTGGATTTATTTAATATATATATTATATATTTGGTTCCTGAGTGCCCATGGCTTGAGTAAAAAGAGCAAGCTCACTTTCTTAAATTTCATACGAAATAACTGGCAAGTAAATTTTTATTTGCTTACTACGTTCGAAGCGTATACACATACATATATATATTAAAGTGGATCAAAAACGCGTATATTTTTTTCGCTTGGTACTCAAAAAAATAGGATCTTAGACACCTCTAAGAAAGGATCTCCAAGTATGAGCTTTTGATTGTATCGGTCATCCGCCCTACAGTTTTCTATTTTTTTCTTATTATCAGATAAAAACAATTCAAATCTCGCTTCCAACTGCTTTAAAAAATATCTCGTTTCATAAATTTTGAAGGAAATTGAATGCTCTACAAAATGGTCTCTTATTCTTACCTAACCGCTTCATTGGTATTAGTGGTTAAAGTTTAATTATTTTAAGGCAAATTTTTTATCTTTTGAATTTTATGATTCAATGATAAAGGTGTCAAAGAACCACTTTTTAGAGTACCAAACGAACAAGAATATTCGTTTTTTGTACCCACTCCAATATACATATATACACATGTATGCAAATGTATATATACATATATCAATTAATTCTTTTCTCATTAAAAGTACTTTTATAACATACTGTCTGCCCATATATTCACAAAATTGTAGTGTTGACCTTGGGCGTATATAGCTCTATTACCATATATCATTAACTAAGCATATATATGGTATACGCGTCGAATATTCGATGGTTGCATAATCCCCCTCCGTTGGCTTAAAGTTTATAATTTACTCTACTCTGCACAAAACCCCAGTTTGCATTACTGAGGTGGTATTTCCTTTTTAACCACAATTGCTGACCAATGTGTACTGGCACCACAGGCTATTTTTTCCTATTGCTTCGTTTTCCATTTCTTGGTTCATATATACTGATCGTATTCGATTTTGCTGCATGCTTCCTGGGTGATTTATTTTTCTTTCCGCAGCTGAGTTTGTCTCCTTTAAGCTCTCCATAAATTTGGTAAACTTTGCGTTATTTGAATTTGACCCCTCTTAATCAGATTTATTTTTTGCCTTCTATCGGTCTTTAGGCATAGATATGTAGATGCTCACTTGTTTTTTAAGAATATAAATGTTTGGCCGCCGGAAAAGTGCGTTATCCAAGAATGGTAACTGAATCGCTCTCACCAAAGCCATTTTTTTTACCCAAAATACAAGACTATTACAAAATATCTAAATTCATCACTTTCCTGTCTCTAAACTTCTATAGACTTGCATACGTATTTAAGATGAAGTTTTTGAGCAATACTCAATCTACAAACTTTGTCTGAATAGATACATATGTATGTATGCATATTTTCCTTTTATTAGGTAAATAATATTTCACCGCTTTTGTTTTGAATAGAACTTACAAACATTTATTTCAAATAATAGATATTTATATAGACACTTTAATAGTCCGAAAGTCGATCTTGCTCAAAAGATCGCTTGCAAATGTAATATATTGCAGTCGGTTTTAGAATGAATTTATTCAAACTGTACGTCGCGTATACCACCTTCTGACGCTTCTTACCTTAATCTAATCTTCGTCAGTCCAGAGTTATATTTGTCTTATTGTGTTCATAGACATAACATAGACTTTCTTTTATTTCGGTAATAAGTCTTTCGTCCCTCATCCTACCTCGGCACTACATATGGTATATTACGATTTACTACTTTTTGAATAAGTCATTGACTGCTTCGCAATCCAGTCGAACATCTTTAATCATCTTAATAAATTGATATTGACTATTTAAGCAAAAAAATTCTGAAAAGAGAAACAAGTTTTTCAAGTGCATAAACCAATTTTAACAAAAATATCAAACGTAGTAAATAATATTTTGGGCTATTTCACATACACTAGAAAATAGACACTGCAATTTTCAATAAATGTAGAAAAAATTCTTACAGTGTCACTTAATAGCAATAGAGTATGTGCTATTTAGATAGCTAGTAGAGTAGAGAATGTCAAAATCAAAATCATTTGATTAATATTCCTTTGCTTAGAAGGTATATAATAAAGCTCTCTGTTTCGCAAAGGACTACGTATTATTTCTGGAAAATAATTTTGAAGAAATGTTATAACTACACTTACCTCGATCTCCGCGTCGTTGGATCTTTCATGACCATAGCCTCTGATATATCACCAAACCTGCTAAAGTAGTCTCGTAAGCTTTCTGAAAACAGACATCAAAAACAAAGAAGCGTTACAACAATTGTTTTGCAAAATATCGCTACCTAAAATTGTGAACTTATAATTAACTTAGTCCCCTAAAAACCAACATGTTCCGTGACGACGTATGCCAAATTGGCTGAGCTGGCAGGATTCATTCAATTTGGCAATGAGTATACAGTCGAAGGTCCTCGAAGGCGACCTTAAAACGGAGTTGACGCTTTAAACGACCAGATTGCTGTAACTTTTCGCTATAAATGGCTAAAAATCAGCCAACACATTTGTCAAAGCAGACGGCTTAGTAGATTTCGTACCAAATTCATTCAGCACAACAGTTGTACGTATCTACCAGACTCGATGGCCTGCCTGGCCGCGCGGTTGCCATCAAAAGAGCCACTCAGTGGCTTCTTCATTCATTGAAACAACCAGCAATATATTCTCCATTCACACCAAGCGCCGGCAACATGCCTGACAAACCCCAAAAACCCCTTCCTCTCTCTCACATTCGAAGGCCTCGTAAATCTAAATACAATAAAAATTCAATGAAGGCAAACAGAAGCACCAAAGTCGCGCAAAAAACCAAAAAAATTGGAGCCAGAGCACAAAACCACAGATGAACTTACGCATATATGCGTAAAAATTTCGGCGACAACCACCAGTTGCTGCTGAACCCGCTTGGCAGTTCGAGATTGGCGCGCAACTGCATTTCAGTTATGGCGCTTGTTATTGTTATTTTTGTTCAAGTATGTAACAAGCTTAATTATGAACAATAAAAACGGAAAATTTATTTGTTTATGACAGTTTAGGCTCATAAATTTTAGACCAACAAGCACCAGCTGAGTTCTGCCTGCCAAACAAAGCAGCTGTTACACCAATATAAACAAGTCAACAAACATCCCATCGCGCATTAGAATGCTTACAACAATAACAGCAATAAAGAATATACACATGTATATGCGTTTGGATTTAGCCATGGCACAATTTTCAGACACTCTATGTCCCGAAACTGATGTTGAAAGAGAAACGCATGGATTTTAGACACAACCTTCAACATTTGAAAGTTTTGTCTCTGGAAACCTGACGTACTTCCGTTTTTCCAGTTTAAAATATATCCGAGTATACATACTCTACCTTAGGTACTGCAGAAAAGTTCTTATAACCGAAAATTATTGTAACATTAGGTTAGCAAAGCAAGGTATTAATTAGTAATTTGTTGTCAAATGTTCTGAAATCAGAACTCAAATTGTATCAAAGTGCACTTTTACACAGGGATTCAAAATAGTCTGATGTTTTTCAAATTTTCTTTTGGTGTCGCTCTGGGCATTCACACGGTCAAAAAGAGTCCAGCAACTCGAGTCTAGTTTTTCTGCATTCCTTTTCACAAAATTTTCGTAAATATTTGTGCGGTTCGACTGCGCAACACTGCGTGCTGCGTATTTCATTTGTATGTTGAGATGATGGTCACACATTTTGCTTGCAATGAATTACCATGAATATGGTAGAACAATATGCATAATACAAAGTACCTACCCGCTAAATAGTGTCAAAGAAATACTAAAGACGTGAATTCCCTAATCCACAAGAATGTATTGAATATCCGCTACTAATATTTTCAAGGTCAAATTTATAATAGGAATTTCCTAATCTTTAAGTATTAAAAACTCATAATTTCTTTACTCCGTATTAAAAATTCATAATTTCTTTACTCCATAATCTATATCTTAATTTTCTCCTTATTTACAATTTGTCATAATATTTGTATTATTCTATGCATACGTATTTGCATATTACATACAAAAATAGATAACAGAACTCAAATTTGCGATCGAATTCATTTGAAACCGAGCGCTCTTGCAACCATTCAAAGAATTTGAAAGTGAAAAGGAATGCTGAAAAGGGTAGCAGCGAGCTGTTGCGAACAAGAACACAAAGCGTGCCACCCGAACACGAGTGGCACGGTCCCTTCGTCTTTCCTCGTCGTCCCCTCGCCCACAATAAACTGGTATGAGACTCTTTTGAGTCCCAATGTGAAACGGCACAAACGAAACAGATTAATACATTTTGACGTTTACCAAAACTTTTTGCCGAGCATATTTCGTCGACTAATGACTTTAATGGGATTATGAAGATTTAACATAAAATCCTTAGGTTCATCTTGTCGTTATTGTTGGAGTTCTAACCGGCCACTGTTTAATCGGACAATCGGCCAAGTTGTCTGGATTAAATATAAGTAGAACACAACAGAAGACGCATTTATCATTGACTATCCGACTTTCACTAGAACTGGAGTTGAAAAAGTAAGAAAGGGTTAGGTTCGAAAGTTACCAAACATTTCTTGCAATTTAAAACGATCAAGGAGCTAGTGAAAGTTTTCACACGATTTTATCGTCCAAATCCGGCTCCTATGAGGCCTTTTAGTCTATTTTAGATGCAAAATTTACTGCCTCTGACGTTTTTAGTTTGTTATTTATCGTACTTGTAGTAGTTTTCAAGAAAACCGTTCCATAGGGCGTGGTTATTCTGCTCTCTCTCTCCTGCGATTCGTTGTACCAAATTGCAGTTTTTGTTTTTATCATACTACGGAGCTTAGTTGTACCACTTTCTAAGTTTTCTATTAACCGATATTTGTTGCGATCTCGGTGTCAAGAAACATGTATGCCAAGTTTCATCAAGATATCTCAATTTTTACTCAAGTGACAGCTTGCACGGACGGACGGACGAACAGTCGTCCTGATTTCGACACGTCTCGTCATCCTGATCATTTATATATATAAAAATCCATATCAATCTCGATCAGATTTAAGTAATACATATAAAAACAGGTGAACAAAGCTTGTTTACTCTGTAAAAAAATGTTGTATTAATTAATTGACTTCAATGATTTTGACTTTACGCTCGTTTGAGACATATTTAAGAATTGGTATTCGTACGTTGTTGTTAAGATTTAGTAACACATCCACACATTAGCATCCCCAGAAAAGAATCCCTACCTAGAAACAGTAGGTGACCGAGGAAACCTCAAATATTGCACGACAAACGATTTCCAAATACAAGAAAATAGCAACACCAGTGCAAATGACTTTAGGCAACTGACCATTAGCAACCATTGCCCAAAAACCGCACCCAGCATGTCAGCCTACCACCACAGTCACCTCCGTTGGGACAGCTGCTAGGCTTTAAAAAAATGTGTTCGGTTGGGATGTGGCAAAAGCGTTTGTTAAGCTGCCTATTTTTTAGCGCAACTCTCGCATTTGCCTGCTGATGTGTGTTCGCAATTGCACAGCTTACCGTTATAGTAATAAACAACAAAAAGTGAAATGTTTGCTATTTAAGTTTTGTGGTCTTCTGCTTGTGTTGATGCAAAGTACTTTTCTTCTCATTTTGTTTCCACTTTAGTTAAAGTTTTTCTGCTTTGGTTTTGGTTTGCAAATTTCGGACTGAACTCAAGCACCCAAAGCCTGCTCGGCATCTGGTGAGAGTGGTCTTCGCGCTTTTCCAACTGGTACAGTGCTCTATTGTTCCGATTATATTCTTTTGTGCACGCAGTTGTAAGACAGTGTTGCTTTTGTTTCTACTCGAAACTACCTTGCCACACTTCTCAAGTTGATTGGCGTCAGCGGGTCAGCGGACGCCGGTTAGCCTTCGTAGCTTGTTTCTTTTATTGTTTTGCTTTCTTGCGTTTGTTGTGTGGAAAAACTTCGTCATGTCGTGTGTGCGTTTGTACATGTCAGCAGATTTGTGGCCTAAGCGAGACCTTTGTCAAAAGTTGGTCGAAGCTTGAATGAAAAATGGAAAGAGGTCGGCGTTCGTCTCTTTTCACCTGATGCCGAGCGCTAACTGTTGTTGCTGCTGTTGTATTACCAAAATTCGTGCATGCTTGACTGGGCTTTTATTTGCGTGTGAGAGTACCATTTGCGGTACAATTGATTGAAATCCTTTTTGCTTTTCTTCTTCTAACAAACTTGAATCTGAAACAATAAAATTAGGAGTTGCTACAAAAAACTCAGATTGTGATAAAATTTATGGGGGCTTTATGCGCTTATATATTAATATAAGTTTACAACAAACATAGATATTTCAATCCCTGCGTGTATTTACAAAGTCGTTCCTTTCTTCTCATCCGAAGCTGAGTGTTCTCTAATCCACATTCAAGTATTTGGACATGACCTATTTGTATATGTACATATATTTGTATATCGTTAAATCTGATGCCACCAGAACAACAACAATAAATTAATATTCTCATCGTCTGACTTGAGGTAAGCGGATTTGCTCACGTTAACACATACAGTAGTAAAATGGTTGCCAAAAACAGGGTGACTAGCTGCAGGTAGTCACACGTTTCGGCTATAAGCGTCTCACTCTAAACTGAACAAAGCTCGTGAAAAGAAATTCTTGACATTATTAGATTCAAGGTTTTATTAAGCATAGTTAAAATGATCCGATTAGGTTAAATATACACTGTTTTGTTGGATAACTTGTTGACATTTTGAAGGTAACTTCGTTATGATACTCTTATAAAAACAATCGTCCATATTAGCAAAAAACTTGGACAGTCGATTTTCAGGATTCCCCTGAGGCAATCGTTCACCAGGAACAGACAGGTCCAGACTATAAGATGGATGTATAAGAACTTCACAACCAGACTCCCGTAGCATCAGGCAAATCACTATCAATGAGTGTGGGTAATCGTTTTCCTGATGGAACATAACTCCTCTCACACTTGCCAAAGCAGGCCACTTCGGAGCGATTGCTTGTAGTAAATAATTTCCTGCTACTCACAATTCGACCACAACCGTATCTGATTGACGTTGCTTTAAGTGACCCACTTTTCAATCCGCTTCAGAAATGGATCTATTTTGTGGCGATTCGACAACGATTCGTTTCAGTTGAGACCTTTACTGTTAAAATCATGTAGATCAAATTTCGAACTAAACGAACCATTTCGCCGTATATGTTATGATTTTATCTCTCATTCCTGCTCATTTGACTTATCTGACTTTT